ACATCCGGGTCCAGGATATAAATACAAAGAGAGATTTTATCGAGTGGATATGATATAGAAATCAAAAATGAAACAATTAGTGGACACAACACTCCAAAAGTGGGGCAATCCGCGGACACGTGTTTCTGGCTTTTGGCCTCATCAGCGCGGTGCAGCCAAGTGTAAAGATGGGCAACACTTGTTTGCCGAAAGCAGGAAACAATTGTCCACTATTTGTTTCATTTTTGATTTCTATATCATATCCACTCGATAAAATACCATGGAATTATAAAACAACTTTGCTGGTTGGGTCAGGGCCAGATGCCTTATTAATATTGAGCTGTTTCAAAATTCGTCCGACAAGACGTTATCGAAAAGTAATTTCCGGCCATGTGGATTCTAATGTGAGAATAGTGGGTGGTGCCTTTCTCAGAAACTCGACTGTGGAGTGGGACGCAAATTGTTCAACAAGTAGATTTGCTTTTTCTATGGTTGTTGTTGCAACGGAACCATCGGCTTGGGTTAGTGGTGGAATTGTGGATTTTGTAAAGTTCTAATTAACAGCTTTATCTACCGACCAGAAGGATCTAGACCTGTTGGAATTGGCAAGCAGTTTATTCGTAACTCTCTGATTGTGAAGTTCTACATAATGTGACACGATCTTTGAAAAAAAATTCCATTGCTTCAGATGTAATTCACTATTTATTCTTGTGGTCGAAGTGATACTTCATCTACGTTTGCACATGAAGTGCACCTAACAGGTGCCATAGCAGAAATGTTATTGAAACTTGTACTACGTAAGCAACATCACAATTTATTTCACCAAATCCGGAGACAACAAAAAATAATTAACAGGTATTATATTGCCTATTCAATCCTTATGGTGGGAAACAAGATGCAACAATGGTTGAGGGATAGCTTCTTCCGTAGCAGCTTCTCGTCCATCCTTCCCAATATCGAAAACCCAATTCAGACTGGATTTTTTTGGCACAAACTGAGTCGTTAGCAATGTCTTCATCAAGAAAATCTGAAAACAGATATAGACATTGTTGTAGTATAACATATACACTCTGTGGAACCGAACAGAAATATTTTAGAAAGTTTCACGGAGTTGAAACTGGATATTTCTGTGTATTACTGCCAATATGGTATGTATTTTCAACTCACTAATACATTTGGATATTGAAAAAGAAAGTTATTCAACATTTTCGGGTGTTTTTGAGTGGTAATTCCCTTGCTCTTGGTTAATGGAAAATTTGGTAACATAGCCTTGTTAAAAAACTCACCTGGAACGCTCACTTGGAAAAAGTTTTACATAAAGCCAGACTGTCCTATGGACATGTCGAAGGATTTGTGGTAAAACTAGGGTTCAGGTCCCAAACAAATACATTAGAATAATGTGATGATTGTCAGACAAATGCTCACTTATGGTGCAATTGCCTGGTGGCCGAAGGCTTTACAGAAAACGGCCCAGGCGAAGCTCTCTGGCTTACAGAAAGAGGCTTGTCTGGCCATCAGTACAACACCGTCAGCGGCCATGGAGATCCTTTTAGATCTACCTCCTCTCCACTGGAGAGAGAGGCTAGATGGACTGCATATAGACTTGTGCACATCTCCAATTGCACAAATCAATTCAATGCAGAGTGCAACAGACTGTTGGTTGACACTGGAAGTCACAGAATTTTGGAAATGACCTCTGACTTTATGCCTCCAACTGTCAACTAC